AAAATTTTTCGCTAAAATTTATTTTATAAAAAAATATGTGGTTTCTGTTGGGCTCGAACCCTGGCAATAAAAATCCTGAGTTGCTATCTCTATTGAGACTAACACGTTAACCACTACCTATACAAGTCCTGATAATAGTGACATTTAAATCATGTTTGTGATATGACCATTGACTTAGTGGATTTCAAGTAATTCTCGAAAAGATACGAAAGTTATGTCATGAAAGTCTATTTTTAAGGTAAAGTGGATCTTTGCTCCACAATTTTGGAAACTAAAATATGTATGTTTGTATGCAAACTTTGAGGATTAACTTTCAAAAAAATGGAAAGAAGACCCACTCACATCGAAAAATAGTGTTATAGTGTGAAAAAATGACTCGTTTTGTTCTCTTTCGCGTATGTACAATATTTCATAGGCAAAGAACTTCAATCTTCATGAGATTTGTGCAAGTTGTAGAGATTTTACATAAAGTATACTTTAATGTTACATGAAATATTAAGGAAAATTTTGAAATAATTGATATTCAATTTTTCACCTTCATGTTTGTTGCACTATGGGCTTATCGCTCGTCATGGTCACCCATCTCCTTAACAGTTGTGCGTATTTCAACTTTATCTACTTAGAATTAAAAAAAATGCTTTTGTGTTTTCCTTTTTATTTCCTTAATTTCATTTAAGATTTCCTTTATGATTCTGTCAATTTCTTTGTCCAATTCCTCTCCTTGTTTCTTCACTAATTCCGTAAGATTTCCATAATCAACATCTCAACTTGACATTCGAGTTCTGCAAATTGAGAGATTAGAAATTGACTTTTGGTAATGTTATATGTCATTTACATATGATTTAAATTTTAATTCACTGAGTAACTCTCGACGATAACTTGAAAAATGTCATAATTTAGACAATTCGTAAGCATTATATAAACATTCAATTGCTTTTATATCAGTTGACAATTTTTGGAAATGCAATTTGTGAGAGGGTCTGATATAATATTTGCTTTTTTGCATTTAATGCTTTAAAAGTTAATCCGCTTTAGTGGTATCCCAGGGGTCAAATTTGAAGCAAATTTATTGAAATACTTTTCTATCAATTTAGCTTTTGTTGAATTGTGAAACTATTCTTCCTAAAATTTATCTTTTTTCGTCACTGGTGAATTTATTTTTTTTTTCCATCTATACATATCGCCCTGTTCCGTCTTTCAAATGTATACTATGAAAGGTATATTGTAATTTGATTTTACGAGCTGCAGTGCTGAGGTTTTAGAAAGATCTGCTCGGATAATATTTAATCAAAGTAAGTAATTTTAAATATTGTTTTAACCAGTTTAATATTAATTGATTTTACCGTTTTGAAGAGGCATTGACGTATACATATGGTTTACATTATTACAGATCTTAATTTTTCAAGATATAAATATTTTTCACTTTAAAAAAACACGAAATATCTTTTTAAAGATTCTGGTAATTTTAAACACATCTCGCTTCACCCCCATCGATTTAGATTTATCTGGAAAATACATGTCCTTTTTACTGTCTATATAAAAAGAGTCAATATATATCTTGAGTTTAAAAAAAACAAACATATGAAATGAAACAAAAAGAAGCCAGACGATGTTAAACCTATATTTAAAATACTATATAAAGGGTTGGTTTCAGATGCGCTAACTTTATTTTCCTACAAATTCTTCTTGCCAGATATTAACATTTTTATTAATTTTGTTTACCTCTTTTTATAATATTTAAGAGAAAACAATGTATGCATATACATCTCTCATTGTTTTTATCAGATAACATCGCTGAAACAAACAAAGACATAAAAATAAGATAATTGATAAAGATCATCCATTTAAACAATCTGCATTTTTAGATATCTAACAAATATCCTGATATCTATTTATCTGATATATCTAGACAACATGCAGTCGAATTTTTTCCCAAGGAAAGTATTGTGATGCGTCCTTCGCTATATAAATGCTTTCAAATATGATGGGCAGAAATCCATATAACAATTTTAATAAAACTTTAAAAAACATACAGGTACATGAAATATTCTGACACAAAAAACTATTGCCTTTGATTACTTCTGATTTACTTACGTTATATTTGGTCTACTATTTAGATAATGTTGAATGAATAAAAAAAAAACTATGTGTTTTTAAAATGGTGTCTCTTGTCACTTGACACACGTTGTAAATAAGTAGGTTCCTTGTCTACAGCTATCTTGAATGTAAGAGTTGTCGTGAAGACTTTCATATTTTCTACGTAGTGCCCGATCCCAAAATTGACCATTTAACAGTCAAAGAAATTCTAATTTAAAGTAAAAACTTTACAAAATATTTATTTAAATACCAGTATCATTTTCATCAGTTAAATCGTAGCTTTTTCTGAAATTCGAATAAAAATCGAATACAAACAGAATAAATATGAGGCATCTGAAATTCGAATAAAAATCGAAAAATACAAACAGAATAAATATGAGGCATCTGTTTTTACAGCTATTTTACCTTAAAATGGACAAAAGATGTTTTTTATTGCCACGATCATTGTTTTATAGCTTAATTTCCATTATATGGTTTCCAATTCAACGTCTGCAGTTCAAATCTTACATCAGTTAAAAATCAATTTCGTTAGAACAACATACCCTATCCAACATATTCAATGATTAATTTCTTCGATTACTAGGATATAAAAATGGGTTATTTATATCATAAAGTTTTAAATTTTCAAATAAAACATTAAAGGAATTTTGGCGGTAAGTTTTCATTAAAGTTTAACCCGACCGGGGCAAACGGACATTTCTAGTCTTTCTGCAGTCTGCAGCTGCTGCTTATCAATACAGCGTTTCTTGTTTTGACTGCGTTAAGTTTCGTCTTTAATTTATTATTTTTTTCCATTGAAGAGCTACATAATTCAAATAAAATTCATAGAATAATATAAGTTAAGAATTTTCTCACACACACTTTGTAAAAAAAAGATCAATCCAGAGATACAATACTGGCTTTTAGAGTAAACAGTCATAAAATCTTTTAGGATGGTCATACATAGATTTTTTTCAAATTCGTAATAAAACAGGTACATATACATCTGTGCTGAAAAAACGTTGATATTCGAGTCTTACGATTTTTAAATAACTAATTTTTCTCATCTTCCAAAAAATTTGGTTTGGTAAGAGATCCAATGACTTAAGCGACGTATTTTAAGATTTCATACTAAATTTGTCAGGTCTTATAAGAAGGATATGGAGATAACGAACAGTATTCAATCTCAACGTCCATTAAACAATATACAAAATAAGAGCAGAGCAAACACGGACCTCTGAAACATCAGAGGTGGGATCAGGTGCCATGGAGGAGTGAGCATCCCCTGCCGATCGGTCACACCCGCCGTGTGCTCGTTGTCATGATCAGGAAATAACGGAAAAAATCCGTCGTCTATTCAGTGTATAAATAATGGACTAACAATTGGTATGAAAAACGTCAGTCAGCATATGACTCAATGATAAATTGTATTTGCTGACAAGGTCATTGTATCGACCATAGAATTTACGAAATGATGACTTTAAACGAGACTGTTGATATTCTTGTTTCATCAACTTGCTTGTCAATAATTTACCTCGTTTAAGAAATTGTTCATACGTAGAGCACGCTCTTGCGTATCGAATCAACTGAGATATATATACTCCGTATGCAGGTGATGAAGGTATATTGCTGCATAAGTAAGGGAAGTTGACGATAGAAAACTTAAAGTCATCACGTTTATCATATAGCTTGGTTGTTAAAAAAAGCTATTATTTCTAGTTAAAATTAGTTTAATAATTATTCATTACTTATCATTTAGAAAAAGATACAAAAATACATAAAACAGAACAGAAATCATACACGTACTCATTGAACGGAAAAGGGGGAATTTCGGGGAGGGGGGGGGGTCATTACCTATAGTAGACTTTCCGGGGGAAAATCGACCTCCATTATACCGGTACAACATTTGAAAACCTAAAATGTACAGGGAATTATAATCCAACTACATGTACGAGGGTTGTCCAAAAAAGTTCATGGACAATGACGTTTTTGTTAAAATAAATGATTCTATTGTATATCAAAATATTTTTTATGAAAAAGCAAGTCAGAATGATTTCGTTTTTATTGATGGAACTTTATATTTTTGTAAAAAGTCGGGGTCTTTAAAGGTCGCAGATAGTGCACGTGGACCAATCCGACGTCAATCTATTTTCATTATAACGTCAACATTTGGATTTTGAATTTCAACACATGGTCATGGACGCTGCCCCGTTCGGAGGGCCGACGTCGCTTTTTCTGTGGAGTTTTGACACATATTTGTTATGGTTTTTGTTTAGTATTTTCAATGTTTATATAGTAAACGATACTTTAGATATCAGAAAACGATAATGATAGCCTCTTTATTTTTGTTACATATAATTTCCTTTAAGTTTTGACTTGTTTTATATAGAAAATAATCATTTTAATCCAAACGCCTTATTTAAGATTTTATGGCATCTTAACCTTGGTCCGGGCGCACTATCTGCGATCTTTTTAAAGACCCCGATTTTTACAAAAATATAAAGTTCTATCAATAAAAATTGAATCATTCTGACTTAGTTTTTCATGAGAAATATTTTGATATACAATGTTTTTAAACAGAACCATTTACTTTAACAAAAACGTCATTGTCCACGAACTTTTTGGACAACCCTCGTACATACAAATGAACGTAGGAATTATTTCAAGGGTCTTTAATCAAATACAATTACAAACAAATGAACGTAGAAATTTTATTCAAGGATCTTTAATCAAATATGAAAATATAAAATATCTTGAATACAGTAAGTAAGATACAACAGAGAGTTCTTTGTTAAATAAGTTATTTTCTATATATGATTTGGTAATACTAGCAAAGGCTAGGAATCGTACAGCGTAAATAGAAATAACCTACAGTACAATGTACCTGCATACATAAGTGAATACACATAGTATAATTCTCTAACTTTGTGTCTATCTGACATATCTAATCTCTTTTAGATTTCCAGAGCCATCCTCAGCAACAAAGAGATTATCACTTTTGTCAACACACAAAACGGTAGGTTCATTTAATTCACAGTTATCTATATAACGTAGGAACTGTCCATTCTGGTCTAGGATGCGAATACAATTATTATAAAAGTCTGCTGACAGAATATGACACTGACTATCTGTTGTGATTCCCCATGGTTTGAATAGTTTTTTCTTAATAATAGAGCTATGACCAGTGTATCTGAACCTGAGATTACCAGCCTTATTGACTACGACTACAGCACTGGCACTGTAGTCAGCGACGCAGATATCCAGGTTTCTGTTCTCACTGATATGTTTAGTGAAGCTACTTTCTGAATACAAAGGTTTACCCTTTTTATCAAACTGGATTGTTTGATTCTCTGTGAAGTTTGAGTAGCGAACCACTTTGTATTGTTTTCCAACCTCACTGTACATAGTAACCAGGAGCTCACCAGAGGAGGTACTACAGAGTTGTTGAGGTATCCAGCCCTGTAGTCTGATTATTTCCTCTATCTGCCCACTCCTTACTTTATTCACAGTCCTTGTTGTCCCATCAGAGTAAACCAGGTCCCCATCACCTGTTAATGTTATATTATATGGAAAGTCCCCTGATTTTGTTTTGACAGTATTTGTAACCAAACTCTTAATGTTAAAGCATTTTAAATCACATGAGTTGCCACATATTCAGATTTCTTTTTCATTTAAACATTTAGCACCGCGGATTTTATACCCTGTACTAATGGACGTAATGGGTTCTGGAACTTCCAATAGTTCTTTATAAGTAGCTGTGGTCTTCATTTCCTTCTGTCTGTTGCCTTCCTTTTTAATGGATAAAGGTGATAAAGATCCAAATAATTTGTAAATCTGTTCTCTGTTTATGTTTTCTGAGATAAAGGTTGGTAGTGATACGTGAACGTTGGGAGGAAGTTTCCTGAATTCAGCGATTTTGGAGGAGTATTCTAAAGCTAAGGTCATTTTATTGGATACTTCAATTTCTTGTAGAGTGAGCAGTGTTTGGTCCATAAGAGATTGTATTTGCTTGATTTCGTCAAGGTGCTGTTTCAGAATGCTATTATGTTTGATTTTAATCTCATTGATTTCATTTTTCATTTCCTCTATGATTCTATCAATTTCTTTGTGCCATTCTTCTCCGTGTTTCGTCACTAATTCTGTAAGATACCCGTAATCCCCGTCTAAACTGGTCATTTGAGTTTCAATGACAATTGCTATTGATTCATATGCTGGAAAAAGATTATTTTCTATTTCTTTTGCATCATTTCCCATGGATTCCTTCTTTGCACCATATATTTCTGAAAGGACTAAGAGATCATGCTTTTTGTGTTGAATGGAGGCTGAGCATAATGAACATACAGGAATATTGCATTCATTGCACTGCAACTCACATATTTTGGTTGGATGTTTTGTACACCTTGGAAAGATCAAGGTTGTTCTTCTTTCTTCAAACGGAACCACTTTATGTTTATCATAGCCATCAGAAACATGTCTTCCTATGCAAGGTATACATAAGTTAACATCGCAGAAATCACAGTGCATCTGTACCACAGCAGTCTCACAAAGGTCACATCGGATAACATCCTGGGCACTTTTCTGGAGATCCATTACTTCACGAACTCTGCAATTAATTTTAAGTTTAGAAATGTACGTAGAATAATGTAACGGGCCATTAATATATGATATAAATCATATTGAGTTAATGAAAAAATAATTTAGACATTTTTAAAAGTATTTTATATAAATTCAACTGCGTTTATATGAGATGACTATTTTTGAAAATGATATTCTTCAAAAAGGTCTGATATAACTCTCTTTTTTCCCATTTAATGCTTTAAAATATGACCTTCTGTAGTAGCCTTATTAGAATCCAAGGACCCACATATGCAGCAAATTTAATGATATGTATTTCTATGAATTAAACTTACCAGGTATGCTGAATTGTTTTACTATCCTACCTAAAATTTATCATTTTTTCCCATCTCTGATAATTTTTCCCCATTTAATCAGATCGCAATTGTCCATAATTTAGATGTACACTACAAAAGGTATATTTCATTTTAATTGGGCAATCTGCAATACTGATGTATTTTGGATTCTAAAAGATTTGTTCTAGTAAAATTTACTCCTAGTTAGTTATTTGAATTAAGATTTTCTAACCAGTACTAGTTGAAATAAAATTTATTTAACTTCTTACATGTAAAAGGCATTGCTGTTTACATCAGCATGCATCTTTTTTTCTAAATATGGAGAGGGTAATACTGGGTATTTATTTTAAAATTTTCACTTTAAAAACACAAAAATCAATTTTCAGAGTCTTGCAAATTCTAACCCATCTCATTTTATTAATCCCTACCCTTATAGATTTATCTGGATTATATAATAATACAGGTCTTTTCCACTGTTCATTAAATGAACAGAGTAAAAATTTAATATTTTGCTTTTAAAAAAAATCAGCACAAATATGAAATCGAAGAAAAAGAGGACCAGATGATGCACAACTTTAATTAAGAAAACAATTAGGTACATTTTCTATAGGGTAGTATTGTCAGGTATTGGCACTTTTATCTATTCCCTATACCCCCCTTTAATTATTATATCTAATAAGAGAAAAATATATGCATAAATTGTATTTCTCGATGTTTTGTTTTTATCAGATAAAATCGCTTAACCAACAATATATATTTAAAGATATCTAACAGATATCCAGATATCGATTTATTATAGGCAATCATGTGACTGAGGTAAACGGTTCATTTATTAACAGATAGAAAGTACCACTTTATTGCAAATATTTAAAAAAGATGTTTATTAAAAATATATTAGAAATTTGAATATTTAAAAAAAATGCACTTGCTTAATTCGGTACTTTTAGTGAAACCCGTCATTGCAGAAATAATAAATGTTTATCAATGAAGGGTAAGTTGGACGTCAATGGTCTTGAAAGGCTCATATTGAGAGAAGACTGGAGACAATTACTGTACATGTTATTCTACATAACGCCAAGGGGTCATTTGCAATGTACTTTCGGTTTCAAATCTATAAACATTTGCACAAAATAAACAGGGAAAACAACTTTCCAGAGGCTTTTACAGAGTCCAACTTGCCTTCATTGATAAACATATATTTTTTTGCTGCAATGATGGCTTTCAATAGAAGTACGAAATTAATTACTAGTATACATATCTTTTCAAACATATAGACATTTTTAAAAATAATTTTTCTCGATAATTTCTTCAGTATTTGTTATCAAGTTGTACTCTTTATCTGTTTATCAGCGATATATTTATAAGCTGTAAAAGCTGTAAACATTGTAAAAATAAATTTTTGGACATGTTGACCTTTGATGAAACCTTTAGACATATAAATTATCATCTACACAGCGGTCAAATGTTTCCCAAGAAAAGTGATGCGTCCTTCCTCGTGTTCCTCTTTAGAAAACATGTTCTTGGCTTTTTAAAAAGTTGATGGGCAGATAATTTAAATACATATATAAATCGTTATACAGATTTCACTTGAAGGCACATGCAGGGACATGAAATATTCCGACAAAAGAAATTATTGCCTTTAATTACATTTTTTACTTACTTTAAACATGTATTAAATTCGATCTCCGATGTAGATCATGTTGTAATTTTGTCTGTTTCTATCATCTTTTCTTTTAGATTTCAAACTGGTAAACTGAATGAAAAATTGTGTTTTTTTTTTCTTTTTTTTGGCTTCTTTTATCACATGACACGGCGCAGCGCAGTTAAGGTTACAGTAAGGAGGCGAGGCCTAATTTGTACGGGAAATGTTTACTATGACGTCACACATAATATAAGGTCTTCAAAATTCCACAAAATGAAGTTATTTGCTATTTCAAACAGCAGGATAGCTGTATACTAATACAAACTTAAATTTTTACATGCAGTTTTGTCGTTTGTTTAATCCCAAACAACTATATAAACGATGCATCGAAATGCACTTGTCAATGTGACATCTCACAAAAATGAAACATCAGTGAGAGGCTGATCGAGTCCCATTTTGTTCAATAAAAATGTTTTTGCTCTCAAATAAAATATTATTTGCAGTTCAATAAAAGGTTGTTAACTTGGATGCGATTTCTATTTTAGTATTTTATTTATAAACTGTCCGTACATTCTCCAGATAAGTGATACTGTCGTGTGTTTGAATGCAGATTCATAGAAAAAGGAATGGAAGGGCCCTAATAAATCGATTTATTGCAAGGGCATACCCTCAATGTATCTTGTCAGGTTTTTACACATAAACTCAAGAAGCATCAAGATATTTGAAAAGTGCTGTGAACCTCATGAAATCTTTCAAATAAATTAATAATAGCTATATTTAATGTAGCTGACCAGCAAAATATTCAACCTGCCGGCCAACAAAATAAATTTTAGCAATTAAAAAAGGGAATCTATATAAGCACTTTTCACAAACTACATATAGTGTTGAAAAGGATTATAAGTTAAACTAAGATTTTTAACTTGGTTATGCCCTTGCAATATTGGAATTGATAAATGACCTCTAAACTGCAAGTATAAATGTTAAAATCATGTGACGTCGACATCACGTGACAAGTCTAAATGAAAAATCTAAATGTCCCAAACATGTAGATTTAAATCACATTACATTTGATTGATATCAGTGAAGTCCTTACTCCTAATAAAGTATGTATTTTTTTATCTTAAAAAATCGCCGATATATTCATTTGTAACCTTAACTGTGCTGCGGGGTTGTAAATAAGTAGGTAACATTTCCTGATCTACAGCTATTTTGAACTTTAGAGTTATCGCTCTTGATAGGTGCAAAATTCCGTATTTCTTTGTCTAAGTTGACCAAAGTAATTAAATATTTCGGTTTTGACAACGTTTCCAGCATTTATTTTAAAATTGTTTAACAGTTAATTTATGCTCATTTTAAATTTCTAAAACTGCCAAAAATTTAGTTATCAAATATCAGTATTACTTCTTATCTTTTTCTGAAATTTCAATATGAATATTATCAATGGATTAGAAAAAATAGATAGCGTCCGTCCATCTTTTTGATAGATGTATTTCGCTTATTTCTAATTCCTATTAAATGTTTCTCAAAGTCATGAACAAATTCTGCTTTTTACCTCTCAAAGACATTTAAAAATTCAATTTCATCAAAACGTTTTGCTCCGTGCAATGATTTTTTTCTGTAATATATTTCTGATGCTCATTTTTTTTTTATAAAAATCACATTGCTTCTTTTATTCTTACTGTAAACTCACAATTATTATCGTTTATGAATGAAAAGGATATGGCGATAATGAACAGTATTCAATCTCAAAGTCCATAAAACAATACAAAATAGGAGCAGAGCAAACACGGAACTCCAAAACATCAGAGTGATATCATCCCGGGGACTAAACAGGTGATTCATTAATTTAACCTTAGCTTCAGACTAATTATAGAAAAAAAAATCACCATTAGATTCATATTAAAATCTGTGTCAATTATTGTGACTACACAGTACAGGCAACGTGTATTAATCCTTTCCGCGTTACAACGTCGCGGGTTTTGATCGCGGTGCTACCTGAGACCGTGTTTACACCGCGGCGGGGCCAGCTACCGTTATTCTTCAGCTTAGATTTTCTTACCTGTAAAGTATAGTCGACTTTTTAATCGTGTCGAAAATTTAATTAATACATTATTATAGATTTATACTTACATGGATTCTTTAAAAATTCATTTTTAAGTTTTATCAAATTGTTTAATGAAAAAACATCTTTCTTTTTCTTTTTCTTTTTACCAATAGTCACTCAAAATTAATAAATTCTCAAACACGTCTGTTAACAGTAACATATGTACAGTATAGGATGAAATAAAGTCGAATAATTTATCGAATATATTAACTTAAAGTTTATTTTCAAAATCAATAATGCCACCCCAAATGATCTTCAAATTGCTAAAAAGGTATAATTAAAATTTAAAGAATGCCATGATATCGCTTCTCTTTATAAGCACTGTAATCCGGTGTTCACAATCAGCCCGTGCAGTTGCAGTTACATGTAGCTATGTGTTTATTTATCTGCGAGATTATATCAGTCATTTGGTTTCGTTTAGAAAAGTACCGTTACTTCTGTATACATGTCTGTTATAAATAATAACATGAAAAACGATGATAGATAGTGATACATAATTACAATTAAATTTTAATAAAACACGCATAAGTGTAGGAATACCGTTGCTCCATTATTATGCGCTACACTGTAAGACTATGAACTAAATATCGACGATTTTTTTTTTGGGGGGGGGGGGGGTATTGTTAATAAAATAATCACAGGTCATTCTATTCAGAATATCAATAATAGCATAGCTAGTATTTGAATGTATTTCTATTTTCTGCTCTTTTCGAAAATTACTCAAATCATGTCTATGAACATAACAAATTTCAGATTTCTCCGGTTCAAATATAAAACACAAACACAAATATGGGCCCTTAAAATATTTGAACACATAACACAGAAATTAACTTATTTTAATCAGCAAGTTGCCATGCTTCAAGTTTTCAGATGTCTGTGTAACCGTTCGGTTTTCCTCAGGTAAGTTTGGTGTGGAGTGGAGCTTAATCGAAGCGGATGAGAAGCCCCGAGGGAACGACGCTGTCTAGTGTACATACTACCTATATACACAGGATGTTACCTGAGTGTATTAACTGTATGCGTTTTCCTACGACATTGTAAAACGAAGCCTTTTTTTCTTCATGTGTAGCTCATGAATTGAAATGCATGAAATAAAGAATGTTTTTGTTGTAGACAGAATCCTTTCTAAATTTTTTGTTTCAAATAACTATTTTTAATAACTCGACAATTTTAATATACTGTGTTTTTCTTAATCAAATTTTATAGCAAAAATACATTTTATTTTACCACCAAAATTTATCGTTGTAATCTGGCGACAAAAAGGGAAGTAATTCAAACTAGATGCTGTCATGAGACAGTAATACCCGCACTATGGTGTTTTCCTCTAAATACACACTCCTTCATATTGGACTTTCCAAGGAAGAAGTCAAAATAATTCTATAAATATCACCGTACATGTATTCGTCAAATTGAACATAAAATTTTCAGGTGACCATATGATCTATATGAGCCTCACATATGTATTTTGAATACTTAATTCATTACCAGTCTGAAATAACAGAATTTAATTAATGATTGAAGTAAATTACTTAATTAGATTCAGATAAATATTTTGCCCATAATTTGGAACTTTTTGAATTTACTTTCTCAACGACATATTATTTCAGTACAAAGCGTTTTTGATGAATTTATCAAAATGTGCAAACTGATTTTAGTACTTGGTCGGGAAAAAAACCCATTGAAAATACAACCCGATTAATTTGTCAATGCCTATCTCTCTCTCCCCCCCACCCCCCCACACACACACTCTCTCTCACTCTCACATTTTTTAAAAATAGACCTAGATGGCAAAGTTATGTTAAAACATAGTTTATTATGATAGTTTGAAATTTGTTCTTGTACTAAACAGTTTTACGTGTGAACATCTTATTTTCTACATTCACATTGGGTTTGCGTCACCCATTATCATATTTATAGATATCACCTCTCGGCACACCTCGGCCGATTCATACTGGCAACAGAATCAGCAAAGGTTTGTCGAATGAGATTATTTAGCACATGTATGCTGACGATGCAGTGTGGTCAGTTAAAATCATTTGTGTTTTAATTGGATTATATGGATTATATTTCATGAATTCGTTGTCACGACCTATGACATTCGGTAAGTACAAGATTTAGTATAGATTGCATAAAAATAAATAAATGCAAATGGTTAGGCTGAAGTTCAAAAAGGGTCAAAGATCATCGCATGCCACAGTCGACAAATTTCACATTGTCAAGTTATCTCCCGTTGCGGACATTCAGTATATACAGGCGCAGATCCAGAATTTTTTTTTTCAGAAAGGGGGGGGGTGTCACACCTCAGTCAAAAAAATCAGCCCAAGATTTCATGAGAAGCAAATAAAAAATAATAATAAAAACAATGATGGTGGAGTCCCTGTTTTCTAAGGGGGAGGATGTCCAAAGTCATTTTTATTCTCTACAGTACATAGTCTTATTTAAATAACTGCTAATTCCAGGGGGGGGGGGGGTGGTGTGTGTCTGATCTCCCTAGCCACTGACTCCCTGTACATGAAATGACAATTGATCTTATGACTCCATAATAGTAGAAAATTTTTTCATTTGACTTAATATATACATATTTTGTTTCCTATGTTTATGTATGTTTGTCTGTCCACAGAAACTTTAACCTTGCCTATAAGTTTTAAGTGGATTGGGCTATACACATGGCTTCAATATTTCATAGGTAAATTTCTTTTGGCAAAACCTTTTAATGGGTACCACCAATTTTGACCTCTTGATCTCTTGACCTTGGAGTTTGACCCACTTTTACAAGAAAAATACCTTAAACTTGGCCTAAGTTTTGAACAGGTGGTGCTAGGACTTTCATGCTCTAACATGTGTAATCATTGTGAACTTTCAACAGGTATAATTATTTTTGACCTAGACCTTAGAGTTGAACCCAATTTAACTTTAACCTTGGCAATAACTTTTGAACAGGTGAGGAAGTTCTAGGGATTTCTCTCTTTTTTCACATGTGTATTCCTTGTGACAAGACTTTCCCTTTGATACCAACAATTTTGACCCTCTG